GGTAGCAGACCCATGGCTGTGCTCTCAGTGCGTTCAGACATACGCTCCGATCATGCTCTGCCTGTCCGAACACACAACTCTCAGAATCATGTGAGGTTTCAGAGTGAATTTGTGAACACACCCCTCACTGCATGACCATTGTGTGACCCTTTCCAGACCATTTCTGAAATAAACACAAATAGCGAGGAAAAGCAGTCTGCATAATTTGCCAAGAGCATAATGCTATTTTCAAGGAATTCAAGATCAAGAGGCTCTACCAGACAAAACGTTCAAAATAAGACAAGATGAAAAATTAAAGCAACAAGAAGCTAAATGGTCAGCCTCATACATTTTCACAGCAGAACTGGAAATAACTCGCTTCCATATATGGAGGGTGAGACAGGTAACAGGCAGTAGATTCCAATGCTCTGTACGAAGGCCGACTGCGCATATCAAACTTTAAATGTGAGTCAATGGGGAAATATCTATGCATTTTAAATTGCGTTATAATATGACATGACAATGGAAAACTTTTTACTCTTCATGAACTGTATAGTATTTATCTTTCTCATCTAAAAATAAATTTATTTTGAAATATGTTTAAAATAGTCTTTCATTTTCATGATTTAACGTTAAATTTGTGATGTGTATGAAATGCAAACTCATCCGCAAAAAATGTTAGGCACACTTACAGACATTTCGATCGGTAGCAAATGTCCACTCATCTGCCATGACCTCAAGTACACCTGCTCACATTTCGATGTGTATGATATCTGCGCCCATCCACCAAAACATTTGGTAGGGTCGTAGATTTTGTTGTCTTTATAGATCCTGCTGGAGAACGCGTATCCATCACAACATGGATGAAACATTAGCGCAATATAGAGTGTGATGTATAGAGCAAATAAAGTGTGCACTCTGCACAGGCGTGCTGCTGCGATGCCATGGCAGCAAAATGTAAATCCGATCGGATCAGATGCCTTCCTGCAGAGGGCCTCGCCTGGTGATCCCGCAATGGACGCCTGTCCCCCAGGTGCTTGTCTTGATGTGAGAGCGCTTATCAGAGAGGATCACCATCGCCACCTGGCTGTCCTTCGGCCTCACGTGGAGAACAAAAGAATCCTTCAGCCGAAGTCGAAGTCCTCCGGATGTACTCTCATGTAAGGGTTGAATGCAGTTTGATGTGGGCATTCATAGAACATATACAGTAGCCTGCCACATGGTCGCAACTTTAGATTTTGTTAAGGCTTAAGTGGGAGGAGACTCTGTTGAAACTTAAGTGTTCTCTCAAATTTATACCAAAGATTTTTTTCCCCAGAAACATCAATGTCAAGACCCTTTTATGCAACATTCCACAAAAAATGTTAAGCTGTGAATAAACATGAATTTCCCAGTCTGACATTTTGCGTGTGGATGGAAAGACATGAGAGTCTCTATTTTCGTAGCAAAATACAAAGTGTTTCTACAGAAACAAATGATTCATCTTAAAAATCTCTTCCTTCCTCGCCGCCGTGATGTTGATTTAATATTAATGTTGCGTTTTTGACATAAATCCCCCGCGATGACCGAAGATGACGTGAATGAGCGAAAAACAAATTTGTTCATTAAAAATTACGTTGAAATCTGAATTTAAAAAAATAAATAAGGACATTGGGCATTTTGAGAATAAAATCACGTGTACCCCGCCTACTGCCCAAAGACGGCAGGGATAGGCTTCATCATCACGTCCGCGATCCTCGTGAGGATAAGGACCGCGAATAATGGATGGATGGATCGAAATTATTCTGTTAATATAGTTGTGACCATGTGTGGCCAGCATTGATGTGCATTAGTCGAGTGCCTGTCGATGTTGCTTGATTGTGGGGCAGGCAAATTGATACATTGATGCAGCCAACCCCCACCCCTCCTCCCCGCACCCCCAATAATTGAACCAAAAATATATTCATCGCTCAGTATGGTACAATAAAGTGTCTGCTGAGTGTCACACAGTCACAAAATTCTCCCACTGAGTTTTTAATGAACTCATCAAGGTGTTGCCTTGCAAAATAATACTTTAACTGGAAGATGCTGACTTTGCACTTATCCATCATTATTATTAGAATATGTCATCTTATTCGACATTCATTTAGGCTCTTTAAGTGATGGTTTATGTGTCCCTGCCTGCTGCGTTGTCCCTCATTAATGCCAGCTATTCTCCATCTTCCGCAACTGTGAAGGCCGCCACGCCACAAGTCCGACCAGGACGGAACGGCTTATTCGCTTTCACGGCTCGTTAACGAGCGGAGGGCTCACAGTCTTTTCTTGAGGTGACTGCAGCGGCCGACTCATCTTTCTCTCGGCATTGTGCAGATGTGAATGAATGTTACCGCAGCAGCTGTCATTGCACGTGTAGTGCATGTTACACCAGCTAAGTGACAGCCCTCGTGGTTTTAATGGAGCTGCAGGAGGGATAATCGCAATGCTTGTGATCATCATTAAATAGTATTTCATATTTGTATGAGCAAAGTGTCACTCGTTGGTCGGAGAATGGTAAGACTGTGACTGAAAAGGTGAAAAAAAATGAATAAATGCGGAGCATGGTTTTTGTTTTAGCAATTAGGTTACTTCCTGGTACATATCGTAGCCTATAATGACAACAGGACTGCATCACTTACAATTTATGGGAACGGGTGAAATGGTTTGATGACGTACTGTAGGATTTCGGGAATAGACAGCAGCACGTTTGTTAGTAGTTTACAGAATGGTTCCTTAAAAGGCAACATAAAATGTTAGTCATAGGAAAGAGGACCATTTGCATTCTGGGAAATTGTGGAACACTTTTTTTTGTGAAGTCCTTATCCCACTGAGTGGCATACAATTGTGAGTGATTTCGAATGCAGCGAATGTTGCATTAATGTCAGAATTTGTCAGGGTTTATTTAAGGTCGCAAATATTTTGCCAAACGGTCACCAGATGCTCACCTGTAATTTTCTTGGAGCAAGGGAATTTTGATTTTTGAGGTTAAAACAAGATATCAGCCAAAAAAACCCCACCACCAACAACAACAACAATAACTTGATCCTAATTTCTTTTTTTTTTGCCATCACAGTGTGGAATTCACTGAAGCGTAATTAAAAGCATTGAAATCAAATGTTACAGTTCAGCTCAAAATTCAAATATAGGCCAATCTTCTATTAGGGGTTCATATTTTCATTTCCAATTAAGGAGGGGTCAGTGCCTCACCAGTCATGAACCGCATCACACATCACTGCTTTTGAATGGGGACTTGATTGGTATCTTTTTTTATGATTTGGCTATTACAAAATGCCCTATAGTTAAATTTTAATCCCATTAAAGACAAAATACATGTTTTGCCTGATCAATTTTTTTTTTTTTTTTTTGAAGGTACACATTACGTAGAGTAATGTGTAAACTTATGAGCACAACTGTAGCCTGTAGCTTTTGGTATAACTGAAATGTTCAGGTTAATAAATACATACATACATACACACATACAACTTTTCCACATTTAATGTGGATTTGCACCAAATATAATGGTTTCCCCCTTTAAATGAAGTTTTATGTAAAATCAGCACTGCAGTTTTTTCTAACAAAGAAACAAATCAATATTTGGCAATCAAAGCAAATAAAGGTAACTCTGTTACTCATTTTTACATTTGTTGGAGTAAATCTCTCATAGTAGAAGTTTACACTTTGTTTGAAATCGACTTTAGCAAAACACAGTCCCGTGGACAACGGATGAGCAAATCTGCCTCACAGTCACGAGGTTCCGGATATTAACTTGACGGTGTGAAGGCAGTGTTTTTGGTTATTTGAGGACTCTAAATTGTCCATCGGTGAGAATGTGAGTGAAGATGTTTACTTGTTTGTCTATATGTGTCGCAATGAGTGGCTGGCAGCCCGTCCAAAGCAAAGCCCACCTTTTGCCCAAAGTCCCCTGGGATGGGCTCCAGTTCACTCACAACCAAAGTGAGGGTGAGCAGTATCATGATTGAATGAGTGGAGACTGGCAAAACACAAGAGCAAAAGTTATGGTTTACAGTTTAGCCTATTGCTATACTGATCGAGCTTCGACTTTGAGTCATAGTTAAGTGAATATTTAATGAGGGAAAAAATAGTATTTGTCCTTGACTGACTTTGAAGTTTACCATCACAACAACTTAATGCAAAACCCAATGGACCGTCACACGAGAGACTGGTGTCATATGCATATTTCATTAATTCTTTTGGATCTAAAAGTGCACAATCAAAGTGATTCGTTCTCTACGGGCAACTGGAGTATCTTTGTCTATGTTCGGGGACCAGAGTCACGCCAAAAACAAATTGAAGTACGTCGCCAAATATGAATTTCGTTTTCATTAACAAACAATTTTATTAATAAACAACACAATGGAGAATATCCGATCGTGACGCCTGCTGTGATCAGAGACAAGAAAGTTGTGAGTCAAAAGTTTCAGTCTTTGCCTTTAAAGTGTTCTGTAGACAAGCTTTTTACTTAATATTTAATATTCATTAGAAACCTGAAATAAGGTCTTGAAGTTTTATACATTTGTAGAAAGAAGCGTTCAAGAAGCTTTCTGTTTGTTCAGTTGAACAAGATAGACACACAGCATGGGAAAATAATTACAGTTACAGTAATGTAATGTGTGTGTGTGTTCGTGTGGTGGGAGTGTGTGTGTGCGCGCGCGCGCGTGTGTGTGTGTGTGTGTGTGTGTGTGTGTGTGTGTGTGTTCTCACCATGGTTTTTTTTCTAGATACTACATCTTTTCTCCCAGATTCCAAAAACATGTATTGTAGGTTCATTGAAGACTCCACAAGTTAGAACTTTATTTTCTTTCTTTTACACATATAGTGCACAGGCTTTGACATTCAAAATGATTGTCCCATAAAAATCAAAAAAAATTTTTTTAACTATTTTTTTTCAACTCCAGTCAGTTTCACCGATCTGGATCCTCTCCTTTTTGTAGCACGAGGAAGGCAGCGCAACAACTAAGCCATCTATTGGTTCAAATAGCCACGTGACTTTGACGTAAAAGGAAATAAATCAACCCAGAGCCTGACTGTTTGTTTACATCTAGTGTTCTGCCTGCGAGTGATTCCATTTGCAGTGAAACTGCCTCTAGGTTTTTCGATAAAATATTTTCATACTTTTCTTGCAATACAGTACCAACATTGCTCTTAATGCGTGTCGGTTGCGTTTACCTTCCGACCAATACTGAGGCTAGTAGCATCCGAGGAAACATGCTAATGCTAAATAGCGCGACACTGGCATGTAAGTAACCCTTCAATGAAAACTTAAAAAATATATATATGTGGCTGCACATATGTTTGCTTTCAGTGAAATTTATGTTCGACTTTAGCTTGCTTCCAAAGAAGCTAACACAAAGATGCAACCTGCCACGAAGCTCCATAAAAGATAGGTAACAATGCAACCATCCCTTCATTGTCTGCACTCGTACACAAGTGATTGTGTTTTTTTAGCTAATAGGTGAGGTGCTTCAAAGAATAATACATGCCCTCCAACGTCCCCTGTGTCCACAGGGATTTGGACGATGTGAAGGAATGAACCAGATGCTGGTGCATCATGGCGTTGTCTGAGGTTCATTGGGATGAAGAAGTCCCCCTCCCCAGGCTGGGTCCGGTTCAGGCCAAAGTCACTGTGGGTCTGGTGGCATTGCTGTGCTTCATCAATAGTTATGATGGGGAATTTGTGTTTGACGATTCCGAGGCGATCATCAACAACAAGGTTTTTTTTTCTTTTTAATATATTGATATAATATTAATTGAAATATACACAAACATGAAGTCCTCATTCACTCTACAATTGATTTTTTTTAAGTCATCAGTTGCTCTTCTGAAATGGGATGTATTATGCTAAATTGACTTTTTAATCTCTAGATACAAATACAGTGAGTCATATGTTAATGAGCAGCCTGGGTTGAGACAGGCGTACTCTTTTCATCACTAGTTTTTATGGTTTATGGTTTTATCATCACGTTTCTACCGAGTGTTGGCACCACAAAACAAGGGTGATCTTCTAAATACACTGTATATGCCGTATATATGGATACCCTCAACATTTGATGGTATTTGTAACATTAAATTTACACAACAGAGTTTTTTAAACTTTATTGAACATGTTAAAAAAGACTGGGATAAAGTATGAAATGTGAAGGATATGGGTATAACAAAAATTACATTAAACCATCGTTCAGGCGTAATAATATAGATCATGTTCAAAAGGGATCAAAGACGCCAGAAGCTTGCATAAGTTAACATGTTTTTTGTGTGTGTGGCAGGACTTAAAACCAACAACGCCCTTGACCAACATTTGGAGCAATGACTTCTGGGGAAGCAACCTGAGCAGCAACTCCAGTCACAAATCCTACAGACCACTTACTGTCTTTACGTTTCGGTTTGTACTCCTTTGTTGCTTCAGCACACCCAGTATTAGTGAGTTATAGCAAATAGAAATAGAATGGGTTCTGACTCGCTAAGCGATCTGATCAAATCTATGAGCATGACACATACATTGGTGTAAAAAAGTGTTTGCCCCCTTCCTGATAACTTATTTTTTTGCATTTTTGACACACTTAAATGTTTTAGACGAATTTAAATATTAGTCAAAGATAACATAAGTAAACAAAAAATGGAGTTTTTAAAGCCTAAACCTACATGGCCCTGTGTGTATTGTAGTATTGTAAGGCTATGTTAATGCTTTTTTAAAATCATCTTCAGTTTTCGAAGAACAGTAAGTCGTGTAAAAAAACTTCTGGCACATGCAGTAAATTCCAACATTACATACATCGTAATGAGCTCTCTCATCTGAATGCACATTTTTCTTTTCTTAAAATTTTGCTAAAAATAACTCAACCTGAATAGATCAATCAATCAATGCAATATGTATATTTTATCTTGTTTGAAAATGGATGGATGTTGATAAGATAAGTTAAGATAAGATAAGATAACTTTTATTTGTCCCACACTGGGGAAATTTGCATCAAACTGAGGTTGATGTAAGCCCATTGGATTTGGTATCAATTACCTCAGTCAGTCAACTGGTTCTTTTACACAGAAACTACAGTTTTGGTTGAGCAGTTGTCAATCAGCCATGGTACTGTATATAACCACTGTCATGTCACATTATGCTTGAACATTTCAAGCTTGTTGTGTTGCAGGTTGAACTACATGTTGGCAGGCGGCCTGCATCCTGTGGGCTTCCACGTGTTGAACATCTCCCTCCATGCCGTCATTTCCGCCCTGATGATGGACGTGTTCGCCCTGATGATTGGGGGACTGGCTTACGACGAGAGAACTCACATACTGAACCGTGCTCCCAAGACCTCGCTGCTCGCCGCGCTCTTCTTCGCTGCCCACCCTGTCCACACGGAAAGTGTAAGTAACAAACTGAGGTCAATTCATGTTTCAGACTATGTTGAAAACTAGCTATTTCAAATCGATACCTCTTTTATTTAGCCAAGCAACATTAGGTACTTATGGAAAATTAAAACTAGTGATGGTCAAGTACTGATACCAGGTATCAGTTTCAAGTGAAACCAGCTTTATTTCGAGGTATCAGTTAGGGATGTTCTGAAGCGATGATGCGATCGGAACTCGGGTCCAATCTTTGTGGTTTTCAGCTGATCGGGGCAAACAGATCTTAATTTTCTGAAATTTTATAGGTCACAAGGTAGCCAAAGAATCCAAAGTTAGAAATATCTTGTCTGATGGAGCAGTAATAGCTTATGTTTATATTACACAATGTTACATTTTGTCTATTTTGGGGGGATAGAGCAGTCAGGGTGTTAGTAGAGCCACAAGCACACACGGCTGCGTGTTCACAGTGGTCTCCTTCCACGCTACAACAGGAGTAAGGTTGTACTTCTTCCCACAACTTTTTGAATTTCGATCCATCCATATTTTTTTCAGTTGTTCATTTGTCATTTTCACACATGTTCAAGATAACTCATTCATTCATTCGTCATTCGTCAGATGGAAAGGTTCACGGTTATTGGGCATTGTGTCAATGCAAATATTATTATTTTACAAAAGGACTTGTTGATATCGGTGAATACGAAAGACTGAATACTGGTATCGGTCTGAGAAAAGTGGTATCGATCATCCCCATTTTAAAACCCAAGATGGAAAGATAAGCCAAAAATTGCATTCAGTCTGAATAGTTTTACTGTTGAACAATATGACTCAAGTAAAAAGTAGTCTTTCAAATAATTTCCTGAGTATGATTAAGGATTCAGTGGAAAACTACTCAAGTAATGTGTAACTTCAATGCCAATGCCAATTAGACAAAAATAAAACATAAGAATGTGCAAATTCATATATTTCTGAATGATATCACTTCAACTAAAACAATAACAGAAATATTTAGAAAATAACAGGTGGGAAGATGAATGAGTCACTGTTCTGCGGTTGTGGTTTTGAATCTGGGCTGCGGCCGTCCTGTTTGAGGTTAACTTCTTTTCTTTGTGCTTGCATGGGTTTTTCTTTTCCTCTCACATAGCAAAGACATGCATGGCACGTTGATTGAAGACTCAAAATTCTCCACCGGTGGGGACGTGAGTGTGAATGTTTGTTTGCCTGCATGTTCCCCGCGATTGACCGATGGACAGTTCAGCCTCTCGCCCAAAGTCATCGAGGATAGTTTACAGCTCACCCACGACCCCAATGAGGATAAGTGGAACGTAAAATGGACGAATAGATAAAATAATACAGTGTCGTTCATACATAGCACAATAGGCTCAGTAAATAGCAGAAGAGGAACAAGAAGACTGCAACTGTAAATGACAATTTCAAGAGAGCTCGAAAGTCCGGTCTCCTGCTAACTCGCCACATTAATTGTTGCCAATTAAGCGAGCTCCCATTCACCACTTTGAAGTTAACCAGGAAAGGATCACCTACGGAGAGATTGTGCCGCATCCCATTTTTATTTTTGGGCTGTCAACTAACAAGGCAGATCCCCTGCAACAGCGCACCGGTGTCTGTGTCATCCCGAGCGTTACCACACTAAAACAGTGCAGTGGTTCCATGCCAAGAACAAACACGCCGTCTCAGCTGGGAGCGTCAGGACCAAGGTGCATGCGGACACCGCCGACGCCTCGCTATAGGATGCTTATTGACCTGCCGCCTGTATGCGGGTGTGTGTGTGTGAGTGCATGTTTGCTATGAAGCTTGGCTGGAAGGCGCCGGTTTCCTCTCCCGTCTTCTCTTTAATCATGCAGGGCAAGAATGATGTGGCGGGCACACGGTCGGCTCGTGCAGGCCTGCTGCACGTATCAAAGCAGGCAACCCCAGGATGCTCACCAAACTGAATCCGCGCACTGTATGGACTCACGTTTGTTAATGAGAAGTCCTTTTCCTGTAGTTGATCCGGTGTTTTCATGCTTTGGAGGTTGTATAGTAGAAGAATTGTAAAAATGGTGGGCTGGTGCCTTTTTTTTTTTTTTTTTTAAAACCCAGCCCTTTTTTGTTAAACACGCCGTCTCAGCTGGGAGCGTCAGGACCAAGGTGCATGCGGACACCGCCGACGCCTCGCTATAGGATGCTTATTGACCTGCCGCCTGTATGCGGGTGTGTGTGTGTGAGTGCATGTTTGCTATGAAGCTTGGCTGGAAGGCGCCGGTTTCCTCTCCCGTCTTCTCTTTAATCATGCAGGGCAAGAATGATGTGGCGGGCACACGGTCGGCTCGTGCAGGCCTGCTGCACGTATCAAAGCAGGCAACCCCAGGATGCTCACCAAACTGAATCCGCGCACTGTATGGACTCACGTTTGTTAATGAGAAGTCCTTTTCCTGTAGTTGATCCGGTGTTTTCATGCTTTGGAGGTTGTATAGTAGAAGAATTGTAAAAATGGTGGGCTGGTGCCTTTTTTTTTTTTTTCTTCTAAAGCCAGCACTGTTCTGTATAAAAAACACGAACAGGAAAATAGTGATGGGATGGTTGACTGCAACTTCCTCACTCGTATCAGAGCCGTAACAGAGGTGATCCAGCGCCTGGAGCCTCTTCTACTGTACATTTCCTGTAAAAGCAAGATACTTTCTACCTAATTCTCTCGCTGTATCCCTTTTCTGTATGAACAACAGTACTCCACGGGTGTTGGTTAAGCTGTGGGGCAAAGTAAAACCAGCATTAGGTAGGACAAAGAAAACATAAATACTGCAAAGAAAGCCACGCTGGAAAATGGATGGATTGATGGTATCCATCTTATGTTTTTTGGATTTTCCTAAAAGGTCATGATAACTGTCTGCTCTTTTGCATTTCCTCCACAATAGGTGGCAGGCATCGTAGGTCGAGCGGACCTGTTGTGTGCGCTGTTTTTCCAGCTGTCCTTCCTCACGTACTGCAAAGCTTTCAACAAAGGTGAGTTTGTTCAACCAGAATTCACTGATTCCATTTGACCAACAAAGCAATGAATTTTGTTTTGTTTTTTTCCCCCTCCTCTCAGGTGTGGACAAAAATGGCGGCTTTTCTGTGTACTGGATTGTGGTCAGCCTCACGCTGTGCGCCGCCGCCATGCTTTGTAAAGAGCAAGGCATCACTGTCTTGGTACAAAATGATTCCATCGCTTCATGCCTAAAGAAATTTTGCAGCAATGTCATGTCCTATACATCTTTTTAATGTCTGTCGTCATCAGTTCGTAACCATGTTCTAGTGCAACCAATCTCTAACCGATAAATTAATTTTAGTTTAAGGTGCACCAAATCACAACATACCCCTTGTTTATACAGTACAGTATAACTACAATGTTCTTACCATTACGAGGGGAAAAAAGAACTCATAATTTTAGCTGATAAATGGCAACATTTCCCGCACAAAAGTAATGGCAACAGTCGGACAAATGTTCCAAATAAAGAAATAACGTCAAGTAATTACAAGAAAGAAAAAGTTGCAAAGTTACAACAACAAAAAAGTTCTCATTTTGTCTTTGAAAAGTCAAATTATGAGGTGGGGAAAGTCTATGCAATGTAAAAATTCTCACATCAATGAAAAAGTATCCGACAAAGACCAGTAACCCTCTCGTTCTCTCAGCACCAACTCTTTATTTTGGTAGTCCTCAGCCCACACTCTGTTCCCTTTGTGAGGAATAACATAACCTAGAATGGAGATCGCGGAGGCTGTCATCATTTTCACTTCATGTGTAAACCAATGTTGGAACTGGAGCTAATGCGTTCTTTTGTCACTGACCTATATGATAATGTCCGTCTTGCGTGTCTTTGCGTTTTCCCTCCAGGGTGTAAACGCAGCTTTTGATGTCCTCCTCATCTGTAATGTTGACGTGTATGAACTGAGCCAGAGGCTAGTCCTCAGGAAGACCCCTCTTAATGTGAGTTACAGTACTCCCTCCTCCCCTGCCCTGCACTGTCATAAATCATGCTCCCCCTCGTATGATTAACGTCACATTGCATACATAGCGTATGCAAAGCTGCCTTAATTAGACCCCATCGATCTGGGCATGCTCACACCCGCACACATGCATTATGTATGTACCTATGTACTGTATATGACGTATGTAATGACATATGACAGGCGCGCGAGATGCTGCGGACGGGCCTGCCGATGCGATTGACCCTCATCGCTCTAGGCGGCTTCTTCATGCTCTACACCCGCTGGAGAATCATGGGAACTGGGCCGCCGGCGTTCACTGAAGTGGACAACCCCGCCTCGTTTGCGGAGAACATGTTCCTTCGGGTGAGTCAGACTGGGTAGTCCTCAAAAGACCTTTTATTGTCTTAAAAATATGATTGTCCTTTTTCTGTGTAGGACTGAGGCAGTGAATCTAATTCAAATTGACATTGCGTTGTAGTTGAAGGCCTTTTTCAAATTGCAGAGGCTGCAATTTGGAAAAATAAAACTTATTTTTTAATTTCTGTTGTGCATATATATTAACTTCTCCATGTCACTCTATTGGATGCACCTGGAAGATACAAAATTAAAATAAATAAATAAGGGCTTGTTTGAGTCCACAAACTCTTAGGTGTGTGCGCTAAGAAGTACTGAAAGCTGAAAATGTGCAATGTATAAAAAAAAAAACAAACAAAAAAAAAAAAACGAAAATTAAACGCCCAACTGAGCACGGCGTACACCACAGCCTGGTAGGTTATAGTTTGAAGATCTCTTACCAAGCTAGCAAAGCAAGCAGGGCCATAAATCCGTAATGTCCTTCCCCCCCATCAGTGTGCGGAAAAATGTGTCACCATTGCATTTTGCTGGCAAAAATGCATCAATAAAATAATGGTGGCTTGAAAGAACGAACTGTCGCATTATGTGGCTTATTAGCTGACATACTTACATACTTAGAAGAATTACATACAAATTCATTTATTGTTTGGTAAGAACTACATGGGAAAAGCCCCTTGAAAAAAATTGTTGCATGTTCAATCGCAAACATAAAACTGTCACTCCAATAATATGCAAAGCCTGTAAAGAAAAGAATAAAACACTGAATTAAACATGATACTGCCCCAAAACGATTTTTACTCTTCCCTCCTCATCCTCTCCCATTCTGATGATTGACAGGTGGTCAACTATAATTACTACTACGCCCTGAATGGCTGGCTGCTGCTGTGTCCCTGGTGGCTGTGTTTTGATTGGTCCATGGGCTGCGTGCCGCTCATTAAGTCGAGCACCGATTGGAGGGTGGTGTGGCCACTACTGCTCTGGTGCGTCCTGATAGGCTTGGTAGGCCAAGCCTTGTGCTCTGCAGACAGCCAGCAGAGAAGGTAAGCGAGCTGAACCATCTCAACCTCTCGAAGTGAGCTTGATTATTAAGACGGTGCCTTCTTTTCCTAATTCTGACTAGACAAGTTTTACTCGTTGAGAGCTGGCCTCTCTTTAGCGATTCAGGTCCTTGATGGAACTCTCTGTGTGCTCTTGTATAGAATCATTTCACATTTGTCTTCTCTTTCCTGACGAAGGACCCTAAGCCTGGCTCTGGTGCTGCTGGTGGTCCCATTTCTGCCGGCCTGCAACATCTTTTTCCGGGTGGGCTTTGTCATCGCTGAGCGCGTATTGTACCTGCCCTCGACTGGCTACTGCCTCGTTTTGGCCTGTGCCCTGGCACACTGCTGTCACCGCTGGGTCAAGTACAAGGTGGGGAGCACGTTGTGCCCAAAAAAAAAAACCATTTAACATCCATCCGACTGAGCTCTTTCTCTTCCATTGCTTGTGAGGACCTCTGTGGCTCACTTTGACTGTTTAATTACTTTCAAGGATTTTGGATAGAATTTTTCTGTGATGTTTTGAATAGTCTCATGTTTTAGTTACAGCCGTTGGAAAAGAAAAAAAGGGCAAAGTGAAAATAGTACATCATGCGTCTTTAATAGGGTGGTTTAAAGGCATTACCCACATTGTGATTTTGTTTTTCTGCAATTTTGCGACGGCAATTGAGGAAGTTCTTAATCTACCATTGGGGAAATTAACAATTAATCAATAAGCATTAGTAATTAATCATTTCTCAACAATCGCTGCTGAGAACACCTGATGAAAATGTATCAAGGGATTCATTGAACACTTTTCCAGCCGGTGGAACTGCACTCCATTTTCTTCAGTCCGTTATGTATGGTTAAAAAAGGTCTATTTGAAATCAGTTTTTTTGTTTGTTTGTTTGTTTAAAATGGTCCCTAAAATACTTTTCTACTACAGCCTTCTCAGGCGTCAATAATTTAGCTTACATTAATTGCACCTCCAGTTGGTTCCTCCAAGTAGGGAACTTATGAGCATATTGCATAAGGACAACATAATTGTAGTGTAACCTCCAAAGTTGAACACAGTCCATTCAACCAAACAAAATAAAGTAAAACCACTCACCCTGGGTGCTAATAACCACCGATTATTGCAAACTTTTGTGAGTTTCAAGTTATGTCAGTGACCATTGTGAGTGTTTCTTTCATTAACAGAGGGGCACCAACATTTTTGTCCGTGTGTCTGTACAAAATGACATTTAGCACATTTAGCTTTTTTTTTCTTCCTCCCCCGCAGAAGCTATTGTGCGTCTCCATGTTTGCCTTGATGGTCACATTTGTGGCTCGCTGTGCTCTCCGCAGTCACCAGTGGCGGTCTGAGCAAAGCCTTTTCACCAGCGCACTGACCGTGTGCCCCCTGAATGCCAAGGTAAAAAAAATAAAAGACCCTTTCTTCCCAATGTTCAATCATCAATGGCGTGCTGATTTCTCAGGTCCATTACAACGTCGGGAAGAATTTGGCCGACAAAGGCAACACCACAACTGCTATTAGCTATTACAGAGAGGCCATCAGGTTAGTGTTTAATCTATTTTGGCACATTTCCATCAGTAATTGAGAGCTCTCTGCGCATCTCTTACAGGCTTCATCCCACCTATGTGCATGCCATGAACAACTTGGGTAACATCCTTAAGGAAAGGAACGAGCTGATCGAGGCGGAGCAGCTCCTATCCAAAGCCGTTTCAATCCAGTGGGTTGTCAGCAAAGCGACAAAAACATTGTGCTGGGCGCTCGACTAACAAAATTTTTCCCAGACCGGATTTCGCTGCCGCTTGGATGAATCTGGGTATTGTGCAAAACAGTCTCAGCAAGTTTGAGCAAGCAGAGAGGAGCTACTGGAACGCCATCCACTTCCGGAAGAAGTATCCGGACTGCTACTACAACTTGGGACGCCTGGTGAGTTCGAGACCGCATTCCCACTTGAAATTCCAGCAACACTTTTGGTCTTGGCGTGGTTCCTGGAACTAATAGGATCCAATCCTATGTCCAGCCCTCTTTCACATAGTCCAGTCACATATTGGTCCTCCATAAGTTCCTTGGGCATTCCCACTCCAGGATATTTTACTGTAGAAGTCATTGTGCAATATCCAACAAAATCATACATTGATATTTTGTTTTCATCCTGCCAGTATGCAGACCAGCAGAGACACGTGGATGCTCTGAATGCATGGAGGAACGCAACAGTGCTCAAACCTGATCATAGCCTCGCATGGAACAATATGGTCATTCTACTGGACAATATTGGTATACACACTTGTGCGCACATACATGCACGCACGCAGCTTATATGCCTCGAGTGTGATGAAAAAGTTTTAACTTAATGTCGCCGCGTTTACGGTTGGTGCTGCTGTTTTGATTAGCAATTAAGGTAGCAACCAGGTTCGATCTTTGCCCATTACAAAACCTTCATTAAAGGGGAACTCAAACCCAACATTTTCTTTACAATAAAGTGTTCTATGTACCTTCACTAGTCTGAACACTGCATTCTGAGTCATATATTGCTTGTGGAATATGAATTAAGCAGCAAAAACTACCTATTTGTAGCCATCTCAGGTGGCGACCATTTTGCTATTTAATTGAATACACTACAAAGACAAGATGTTTTATGTTCAAACTGATAAACTTTTTTTGTTACCAAATAATTATTAACATTGAATGTTATGGCTATATGGGTTGGAATTGTGTTTGTAGAACGGGGCTCGCAATATTTTGGATTAGACGGCCATATGATGTTAATATATATGTCAATGACGATATTTATTGCCCACCCCTAATAAGATATAATTGTATTTTTAGATTTTACAGGTGTACCTAATACATTGGGCAGTGAACGTGTTTACATAGAGTATTCTGTTGCCATTTAAAAGAGACCATAGTTCTGTGTTCCAGCATCGGCAGGCAAGAACTGTCATTGTTTGTATCTTCTGGAAGCAATTCAAAACGGCCCAACAAGATTAGCGCGGAAGAGCGGGAATCAGCAATGCTTGAAATTTATGTATTAAGGCTTTTGTCTTGTGAGTTTCTCAAGGCGTTCCTCCCCGCCGTGTGGAGAATGCTCTGATTTCCGAACGCTGCAGCCATTTTGTCGGGGAGGTGTTCCCGTGGGGGGGCGGAGTCTCCCAGGGGGGACACTGCGGCCATCCAATCAGTGCCCTACATGTTTGCTGATCAAACGTGGGTGAGCACAGCCAGAGCAGTGCCCCCCAGAGGTCCCCCCCTCCATCCGTCCACAAATCTGACTGAAATAATCATAGCCTTTTAGCCATGTTCGCCAACAAACAAACAAAAAAGGGAAAAGAACAATGGGTGTTACTTTCAAATGGAAAGTGGGGATATTTTCTTTCATCTGTGGATGTCTTTCCCAGCAAAAGTCTCCTGACTCAGGACCCTCTGCATGTCTACCTGTCTCCTCTGTTTTATTTATTTTTTGGTGTTTGGGGGAGGAGGTGGTGTGGGGGTTGCAGACACCAGACGGGTCGGTGACAGAGATCAATAACCCAGTCGGGCCTTGTGTTCATCCCTAATTAGGGAACAAACCGCTCGTCCGTGTGTGCACAGGGCGAAAGCTCACCCCCAAAATAAATAAAAGCTGACAGTTACTTTGTCTGTGAACCAGCTTTTATTAGCCTGTCATTACTTAGTCCAAACCATTCATCTTAAATTCTGACTGTCAACACACCATCTCAGTTGCCCAGTGAAACTTTTTTTGATTATTCTTATTAAACAGGGCATACTTGAATGCAATTTTTAGGAAATAGAAGAACACGGACAGTCTCTTTCTTGATGTTTCTTTTTGTTATTCAAAGAAAGCTAGCACTTTAATTTCAGCCAATTCCGTGCAAAATGTTAATGACACACAGTTTTGTTTTGAGTTTAGTTCAGTTGTGCAAAAAATTACAGTGTGGCAAGTTGTCATGCACAATAGTAAAATAAATATAATATGGATAATTATCGACCTAACAGTGCAGAGATCGCAGGTTCGATTCCAGCTCCGGCCTTCCTGTGTGGAGTTTGCATGTTCTCCCCGTGCCTGCGTGGGTTTTCCCCGGGTGCTTCAGTTTCCTCCCACATTTTAAAAACATGCATGGCAGGTTGATTGAACACTCAAAAATGTCTCTAGGTTTGAGTGTGAGCGCGGATTGTTTTTCAACCAGTTCAGGGTATACCCCGCCTATTGCCCGAAGACAGCTGGGATGCGACCCTTGTGAGGATAAAGGGGATCAGAAAATGGATGGATGTATAATAATATTAGATTTTTTTTTAATTTTTCTTTTTAAATATCACTTTTGCAACTTTGAACGTCCATACGTCGTTCTTGGTGCTATCTTACTTGCTATATGGAGGCAGACTGCTTCCTGCTGTCTGCCCTCATTGAGCTTCCTTTTAGAATTAAGAATGCTCCACGGGTTCTTAATAGGGTTTAGGTCAGTGTATTATGGGTATTATTTTCTGCTTTCAACATCCCGAGTAGCCAAGATTCAAAGATATTTATTTTTTTTCCCCGAGTGAGAATTTTGTGTTGCCTTGCAAAAAAATTACAGGTACTTTAACTGCAGAAGGCACGGTTCTTCTTTTAATGGCATTACAGAAAATGAATAGAATAGGAAAAGAAACTCAGTTTCAAAATGGGTATTGTCGTGTAATGTGGCTGTTGTTCTTCTAATATATTGATTATCATTTAATCGCGATTAGCCAAATACAGCCATGATACTACCAGAATATCACTAGTTCATTTGTTAATTTACCTGAGCGGCGACACTGAACTTCCTGCCTTTTCCCCAGGCAACTTGGGCCAAGCGGAGCTGATTGGACGAGAAGCTTTGAGGCTCCTCCCAAACGACCACACCATCATGTTTTCGTTGGCCAACGTCCTGGGAAAACAAGAGAAGTACAAGGTGAATAAGCATTATTTTCATCGCAGGAAAAAAAAAAGAAAGAAATCCTCTTCTATGGTTACAAAGCGAAACAGTTGCTGTCAATCTCCTTTTGAAATATTTGTTTCTTCACTTGTTAGGAATCAGAGGGCTTCTTCCTCAACGCACTCCAAATCAATCCGAATGCAGCTGGCTGCCATGGCAATTTAGGTGACGGATATCTTGAGTTATTTTGAGATCGTTTGTACTAATTTGATTTTTTTTTTTTTTTGTCTTTGACTTTGTGTTTTATATTTTCATACAACAAACATAAAGGTTGTTTAGTTCAGGCAAATTTAAAGTGAAACACCAAAGCATGTCAACTTACAGTTTCAGTATTCACAGACGAAATACACTACATTTAGCACGCCCTGGAAACAAATAAAAATTCTAATATAGATGAAAGATAAAGACATAAAATTCAGCGGACATGTCTGTCATGACCGACCGCACCAAGATGTCACAAGGGATCATACACCAACGTTTTTGTTTGAAGCTGCCATTTTGGCTAAATGCCAAATCTTATACATCTTCGACACAATTTACCCAAATGAGCTTGCATTTCAAGCTCATTTTTTACATTCCCACAGCTTGAGACTCATATTCTCCTCCAGAAATGTTGGTGGGATTCCAAAAGTTTCCAACTTTGAGAAGTTCAGCTCCACTAGCATTCTCCGTGCTTCAGAATTGTACAATTTCCGACAAAATTGACGCCACAACCTTCCATTCTGTTGAGTGCAAGCCCGACCATGCCAAATAAACCTGTATTTGTGTGCCTTTCTAAAGCTGTGCTGTATCATCGCTGGGGCAAGTTGGAGCTGGCTCAGAAACACTACGAGTTGTCTCTCCGTTTGGACCCCAAAGCCCCAGGCACACGAGACAACTACAACATGCTCCGACGCAAACTGGACCAGCGCAAACGCCACGCACCCTGACGGCAGCCCCATCCGTTGACGTCATCAAACACTCTTCGTCGCACCCCCCGGTGATTTTTACAAACATATTTTGCGTCTGAATTAAAGGGTCGTTTCATAGCTCCTTCCCTGCGTGATGTATCTTAATTAGATTTGCATGTGTTGTTTGAGACACTTTCTGTGTATTTGCTGCCGCTGCTGCTGTTGTTGTTGAGTAACCTCAACTGGGTCCCAAAGCGGCTCCTAAAGCCGCAGCGACCCGGGTACCTGCAGACCCAGTTGTCGGCTGTTGACTGGGAACTTTTCGTAGCCCGAAGGCAAGCCCAACACCGCTCGGAGGTCGTTCCCGAGTTGGGCTGTTGCTGTTGCTGTTGAGCAACCCCCAACTGGGTTCCAAAGCAGCTCCTAAAGCCGCAGCAACCCAGGGACCTGCAGACCCAGTTGTCGGCTGTTGACTGGGAACTATTCGTAGCCCAAAGGCACACCCAACACCGCTTGGAGGGCGTTCCCGAGTTGGGTGCCCGCG